ACTACTACTACCACCACCACCATCTGAGGACCTTGTACTCGCCGGAGCGCAGGGCTTCTCGAAAGTTGCCTAGTTGATGCTCAAACCTCCGCTCATGCAAAGGGGCCAGCTGAACTCTCCTTCGCCATGTATTAGTCTCTAAGCCAAGCTAAGACAGTTCATGTTGAGAGACAGCTTCTTAGCCGTTAGTGTCGCTTTGCTAGACTGTATGTGCTACAAAAACATAGAACCATTTGCACCCTCGCCATTCGGATGCCGCAAGACGCGGCAAGCTCAACGCTCAGTCAAGGCAACCAGTCACTGGATCACAAGAATCATCCTAAACCCTAAACCCAGCAGCCGAAACCCGGAAAACAAGAGGCGCCCGCTCTTCTGAACTCATGACTTCGGACTGAACAGACACCCTAAAACCTAAAACCCTAAACCTCTGTCGGATTCTGCTTTCCAGGCCACGTGGTTTCGCCAAGGCCATAGAGCTGTTCGGACTGGGCCACTCCCTGACCTAAACAGATGATATATATAGATAGATAGATAGATAGATGGATAGATAGATAGATAGATAGATGGATAGCATTATAGTGTGTATATATATATAGTAATATGTTATATTGTGTTATGATATAATATATGTTACTACACTATGCTATGTTGTATTTAATATAGTGCTATATTATACTTTATAGGGCATTAGATTATATATAGCATTATACTACATGTTATATTATCTATAGTGTTATACACAGTATTCCATTTTATATAGAACTATGTTATATTGTACATTTTACTCATAATATGCCATATTATACTATACTAGATAGAGTATTAAATTTACTGTATTGATTTAAAGCGTGAGCTTCCACAGGCAGCTCGTGGTCAGCATATGCTGGTTTTGCAGCTTTCAGGAAACCTGAAATCCAATCTGCAAGTCCTCTAGACTTTCACCAAAAGCGATATCACAAGCCTTCACCAAAGCCCGTTCAATTAGTCACACCCTAGAAATCTCTACCACTCAGCTACTGCCACCACAACTGAGACAGCATCGAAGAAACCGTATGAGGAGCCCTCCGAGGCGCAAGCGCGTCCAGTCCAAACGATGCCAAAGAAAAGGAAAGCCGAAGTTGTGGAGGGTAATGCTGGAGGCCTGCCAGGGCGGGTTTGGGGGCTATGGGCAAAGAAGTAGAAGGCACTTTGGGTCACTTGAGATCTCATGGGGGATGCAGCAAGAGCTCCATGCACGCTCTACCAGAAGATCAGCTATGAATCTCACAGCTCAAGTCGCAGGTGCTCAGATTTGCCGCTAGCGCCTGACCGTCTGAGTTTTGCCCAGCAGCGGACAGGCTCCATGTAAAAGGATCCAGAAGTGAATCTCTGGCCATCGACATGGAGGCATTGATCACCAGGGACGTTGAAAGGCGGAGCTCCAGTAGTGCAGTCAGTGAGAATCGTCTCTCTGTAGCAGAGATCACCCGTGCATCCAGGGCATCTGTTGACCAAAGAAGCATGTCAACACAGTACCACCAACGATCAAAGTTCTTCACGCGTTCTCGCTCCAGTATCTGCTCTTGCATGGGATCAGGCCAGGGCCAGAACTTCATACTCCGCAGCCAGGCCTTTGGGTCGAGCATGGAGAACCTAACCTCAACGAACCGGAGGGGCGAGATACCGCCATCCGCCACGGTCAAAGACATCAGCTGCTTTGCCCGCTTTGCTGCCGGATGGTAACGGTAGTGTGCAGCTTCGATTACTTTGCGACCTGTACGCTTGGCTTCCTGAACCAGCTCTGAGGCCTCTTGCGCGTTTAGTACAGCTGGCTTCTCCAATAAGACATCCTTGCCTGCGCGCAAGGCTGCCAGGGACCACTCTAAGTGCAGGCCCGTCGGCAGCCCGATGTACACCCCATCAACATCCTCTCTTGCAAGCAGCTCAGAGTAAGCACTCGATCCTCCATGGAAGGCTGGAATGCTGTGTTTGGCAGCGTAGGTCTGAGCTCGCTGCGCATCTCTTGCAGCAACGGCAGACACCAGAACGTCTTTTCTCTTGTCGGCGGCATTGACAATGGCCGCCCTTGCGATGAAAGATGCTCCCAAGATGCCAATACGAAGAGCATCCGGATCTTTGCTGTCCGAGGAAACTAACGTTTGCGGTAGTCTGCATATGCGCAACAAAGCTGGCCACAGAAGCGCGGCTCCGACTGCGGCAGCCGCAAAGATGATGGGGCATACGCACTGCAATAAGCTCGTCATCCGCATGATGGAAAAACGGAGCTAAACTTGGTCTGTATTTAAGCACAAGCGTAGCTCAATCAACCGCCTGACTCCGAGCGCAGGTAAACCAGGTTTACTATTGTACGCTGCTTACACACTAGACGGTCGAAGCAACTCGGTTCAGATGGAAACATCTGCAAGCAGACCAGTGCACATCTCGCAGATGCATGTGCAGCAGGGAACAACGACAGGGTAACGCACTTTTCAGATGTCACGTGTTGAGGACCATGACCCGATCATGGCAAGGGCTGGAATAGTTGTTATGATATCGCCTCCTGGTAAACTGTCGCGTGAGACGCGCCTGGCTTCCTGCCGTGCTGCAACGCTTTGCGAGCTACGGCCGTAGTCATTCTTCAGAATGCTGCTACCGAAGTTTATCTGACCCCAACTGCAGACCACCGTATTGATGGGCTGTGTAGCCACAGGGAGGACAAAAACCCTGTAAAGCATCCTATAGCTGTAGATGATGGAACATGGGAGGGCTCAGGGATGCCTGCCAAGAGATATTTTATGTAAAAGTTGCCTGCCGAAGATCGACTCTGCACCTGCCTCTGTACCACACAGCCACGTCTGGCTGCCAGGTGAGAGATGCTTGGGCTGGCGATTCTCACAAGGGCCAAAGATGCCTTCCGGCAGCCCTTCAAACACTTGCAAGGATCATAAAGAATCTCCGGGAGACGCCAAGATAAAGCCAGGCGAATGGTTGAGCTGGAAAGAACGAAGGGTTGAAGCAAGCAACCATCTTTAGTAGTCTGCATGTGTCTGTATAGGACTGTGCAGGCAAACGGGCTCGTGGCGACCCACCGGGCTTGCACAAATTCCCGGCTGCTTTGCAGCACTCATGCCATGCACTTCCTGCAATCTCGACTCTATATACAAAACTCGATCAGGCTGGCTTGCAGCCTAGCCCCGAAGTGAAACGTCGTGGTGTAGATCGGGAGGGTCCGTTTAGCCTCGCATTGAACTCCAACAACTGGTCTCGCGAAGCCAAGCGCTTTCGGATGCACGTGGCGTCGGGACTCACCGGGTGCCCGACGCTTCTTGGACCCTCCTCCCGGCATCTTCGCGCCGAAGGGCGAGACGTACCTGCCCAGCGACATATGCAACACTGCACTCTACAGATAAATAGATTCTCATATAATACAATCTGTTCAAATATAATATAACCTAATCTCATATAATCTAATCTAATCTAATAGAACATAAATCTAATATAATACAACAATAAAAAGAATAGAACAGGATTCCCCGGAGATTCGCCCGCTTTAGCCAAGGAGCCTGCGCTGGGAGTTGGGAGCCCAGGTCGAGTTCATCTTGTCTGCGACGGCGGTGGTACCGGACCTCGGTTTAGGGCCGTTTAGGGGTTTAGGGGTTTTTAAGGGGTCTAGGGGGTTCAGGGTTTGGGGGGTTTTAGGGGTTTAGGGGTTTAGGGGATTGGGGCTTTTAGGGGGTTTAGGGGTTCAGGGATTGGGGTTTTTAGGGGTTTTAGGGTTCAGGGATTGGGGTTTTAAGGGGTTTAGGGTTTAGGGGCGATTTGCCGCGTCTCCCAGCAGAAACGATTCTGCAGCGCGCGAAGACACTTTCTGAGACCTTCTGAGTTGCTGGCCCTGAGCTCACCTAAGCACGAATTCACCGCGCTTTTGCTACTTTGCGGCATCACTCTTCCGAGTCGTAGCCCATGTGCCAAGTCAAGTTTTCAGTATGCAACAACCGATATAATTTTGCGACTAACTACACCTCCGCCTGTGCAGCACATGTAGTCCTTCAGACTCTCTTCTGTATTCTAGCGACATCGCAACCTGTTTGAAAACCCTCGCTTGTCAAGTAGGCTCTGCACCCCGCGCATGTGATCCGGGTGGTCAGTTGTGGTCCAACTGTGCGGGTTTGTGGAAGACATCGGATCCTCGGCACGCATGAAGATGCCCCCAGAGTCATGAGTGATGCTCGACCGCCTCATGCTGAGGCACTGGCGCCACTGGAGGACATGCTGGACTGGGTGTTAGCTCCTCCTGCACAGAAAGGCGCGTTGGCAGCCGCACTAGTGCCCCAAGATGCCACAGGCCTGTGGTGCTGCTCACAGTCCCATTGAACCTCGAGGTTGTTTTCTATGAATCTCATTAGTCTACCTTAAGTATACAGGTATTATAAATTGCATGATTATGACCATAACGACACCTTGTGTAGGAGCCGGGCCCCTTGGACGTGCCCAAGACGCCCAGCGACTTCTCTGCGCCATGCACACTGGCAGCGGGAGGCACATCGAGGTTGGTCCAACTGTTTCAGATTTTGAAAGTCTTACATTGCCTTAGAAGAGTTGACAATCCACACGTGAATTGGCTCCATGTTGGCAATAAACATGATCACTGCGCTCAGGTCCACACCCCGCTCCCATAGATCCATGCACCGTCATGGTACCATGCCTCAGTGGAAGGTGGGACCTGTCGACATGGCCGAAATTACTGCCCGGTGCCCCATGCTGCAAACAGGGTCGAGGATCAAAAAGAGTTAGGAAGCATCAAAAAAATTAGGCGCAACGGATCAAAAACAATTTAGGAAGGATCAAAACGATGTAGGGATTGGGATTTGCTGCAAATACCAGTATGGTTCCAACATGTTATTCGGACTGAAACCGTAACCAATAATTAGGATCTTCGGGGGGAGGAGGGGGGGAACGGAGAGAGTTGCGTTTCGTACGCAACTTGATGCGCTGCAACAGCTGGCTCACGCACAGCTGATCCAGCAATAGCTGCACGATGCAAGCGTCCGCTATTGATCTTGCCTGGTGTCTCTCTGTCGTGATTATTTCTTCGTGTATTTGCTTGAGTTTCTTTCGTTATGTCTTTCCTGTTGTCCCGATTGTGCTTCTTCTTCCCTCGGGTGTAAGGGGCGTCGTAAGCCCCCCGGCCTCACGGGGCCCCCCCAGTTTTTGGGGCTTTCGGGGGTGGTGGTCAGCTCGGGTGAGGTCCCACTTGTGCTCTCTCTCTGTCTCTCTCTCCATGTTTCTTTGTACTTGCAGCAGCGAGAGAAACAAAAATAAACACACCAGGACAAAAATCCCAAATACTTCGGATTGAAACAGTAATCACCGTAACTGGAGTAATTAATGCGGAAAGACAGAAATGTGGAAAAGCTGCAAACAAAAACTATATATATATATACATACATATGTATATATATATATACACACACATACACACACACATACATATATATATATACACACGTAATTGTTTGTATGTGCACAACTCGTGTCTGGAAATACACAGATGGATGCGCCTACGATGCGGTTATATTGTGTGTGTATATATATATATATGTACATCTATACATATATATATATATACACTCATCTGGACATATGGGTGTTTGTGTATACAGAGAGAGAGAGAGAGAGGGAGATAGATAGACAGACAGACAGATAGAGACAGAGAGATATAGATAGATAGATAGATAGATAGATAGATAGATAAGTAGATAGATAGGTAGATAGATAGATAGATAGAGAGATAGCTAGATAGATGGATGGATGGATAGATAGACGGCTAGCTAGCTAGCTAGCTAGATAGATGGATAGACAGAGAGAGAGAGAGAGAGAGATAGATAGATAGATAGATAGATAGATTGATGGATAGATAGATAGATAGATCGATCGATAGATAGATAGATAGATAGAGAGGCAGATCAATGGATGGATGGATGGATGGATGGATATATATATATGTATATATATATATATATATGTGTGTGTGTGTGTGCGTCTGTGTGCGGGTGTCTGTTTGTAATAGCAGCATCTAACTGTTTATTTGTTTGTTGAGTTGTTTTGATTTTCGTAGTTCCTGTATCGAAACTTATACTAGCAACAATCGACCCAGTACTGATAATAATGATGCCACTAAGAAAACTATTGATTCTAGTTATAAGGCATAATGGCTTCAAGAGCGAATCTAAAGCCACGAAGCCAACAAGCCACGATGCCAACAAGGCGGGCAGCCACGAATCCGAGAAGCCAAGAGGCCGGGAAGCCAAGAAGCCCCGAAGCCAGGAAGCCGCGAAGCCAAGAAGCCAAAACGCAAGCCGGGCAGACAGGAAGCCACCAAGCCCAACAAAAATCGGCAAATTACATCGTAAATCGTGAATATGTTTTTGATCCTTCCTAAATATGTTTGTTTTTGATCCCTCTCCCTGCTGGAAAGGCCGTAAGCTGACCACACCATGCCGGGTTTTTGCAAAGATGCCTCAAGCAGGCGCGTGTGAAAGGCACTGACAAAGATGCGACTTGAGTGTATCCTGGGCTGGCGGGCAGCCGCTGCAGTCTTGAACGTCTGCGTCTTGTTCTTGCTGTCTCGTTTGCCTTTCAAACCTCCGATGGGTGGAAGGACCTCAGCATGGCCATGGACAGCTCCTTCAACTCTTATGGAATGTGCCTAGTACAAGTATGCGCAACCAGTCTGAACACAAATGGGGGATGGTGTCGTGGATCTCATGACTTTGCAGACTGTCTGCAGGAGCTCAGTAGCGCACCATGCCATCATCGTGCACCTCGTCGCTATCTGCCATTCCGCCCATCTGGCACGAGGAGGCAACGGCTCCGTTTATGTTCTCTTCCGCACCTCTTCCAAGAAAACGTCTCAGCGACTCAACAACTCCCTTGGGCAGTGGCCTTGCGTCTCTCCTGGCGGATAGTTGGGAGTCCACCGCTGCGCGCCTCCTCTGGCCTCGCGGCACAGTCTGCCAGCTCCATCATGTGCTCTGTGCCCACTGTCCGACAGAGTAGGGACACACGGGCTGAGGCCGCACACGCAGGGCTGCTGCTCCGACTGGGCCTGTCACAGGGATTTCACCTACCTTCCCACCTGGCCCTGGCCTTCCCATGGCGATCTGAGTCCAAAGAGCTCATGGGTCTGCTCCGGATTCTCATGCTCGGCGCTGGCCACGCTGCTCGTCGCGCTGAGGCCCGCCTGAAGTCACCCCCCGAAACAAGCCAT